ATACAATCCCTTTTTACGACCTTCTGACAAGTAAAGCCATTGGGAAAGCCATATTCACTTAACAACAGTGTTACTAACTTAGCAACTGCAGTGATTCATTTAACAATTGTGGCAACAAAAGTCGTAAAATGGGGCAAAATTCACTTAACAACTGTCTCATTTAGCAACAGAAATTTGGGCTCAAATGCAGTCATAGGTTGAGGACTACCTATACAATAGTCATTTGTCCTTCACCCTCTCCCTAATCTTAAAACTACCAGATCTGGGCGGTAACAATTCACATGGTCACTTAGTTTTTCAGTTGTCCTGTACATTTCTCAGTAGAAAACATTTTGATCCAATGGTCATTATTTTATCTATAGGGCTTATCAGTGCTTTGTTGAGTTTTTACAAGCTTCAGTCTTCAGGGTTGGATCTAGCCAACTCATCTTGGTTATCCTTTTTTTCTAATTGCCTTCCACTTTTTCAAGTCGCAGAGTGTTCTCTAAATCCTGTTGCGTTTGCATTATGTTTCTAAAAGATTTAAACTTTAGCTTCATGACTAGTGTTTTGAAAGAGAAGTCTAGCATTAATTCACCTATTATTGAATAATTTATTCTTCTAATGGTCTAAAGCAGGGGTCTTCAAACATGGCCCTTTTATGACTTGTGGACTTCAACTCCCAGAATTCCTCAGCCAGGCATGCTGGCTGAGGAATTCTGGGAGTTGAAGTCCACAAGTCATAAAAGGGCCAAGTTTGAAGACCCCTGGTCTAAAGTATTGTCAACAATTTTCTTCAACATCACATCAAAAGCATCCATTTTTTTCAACCTTTCAGATGATCCATTGTTTAGAGTTAACTGGGAAAGCTATACCCTTGACAATACATGACTTTGATGTGTAATTTATGCCTCTGTGGCTTGTTCAAATAATCAAGAGCCCTGATGGCACAGTGGTTAGAATGCAATATTGCAGGCTAATTCTGCTGACTGCTGACTGCCAGTAGTTTGGCAGTTCAAGTCTCACCAGCTCAAGGTTGACTCAGCCTTCCATCTTTCCAAAGTCAGTAAAATGGGACCAAATTGTTGGGGCCAATATGCTGACTCTGTAAAACTGCTTAGAGAGGGCTGTAAAACACTGTGAAGCAGTATATAAGTCTAAGTGCTATTGCTATAGTTTAAAAATTATGGCTTAGACTTGTGTGTTTACAGGCATTATTTTAATTTTTATACATCTTGTTCTTAAGGTTTATCTACCTCTACTGAATCTATGTGAAAAACAAAATACATAAAAGTTATTGTCCTCCTCCACTTTCCCATATACTCTTACCCAATGGTGTTGTAGAACAAAGTATAATTTGTAGGAAGACCGCCATCTGAATTAGGTTCCCATCGACAAGTAAATGTTTCATTTCCTTGGGACAGGCAACTTACTATTCTAGGTTTCCCAGGAGGAGATTGTCCTGGAGAATTGGAATAATGAAATCACTTATTGTTAGCACAGTGGTTGCAAGCCTAGAATATGGATTTGAATTTGCTTCTGTTGCCACAGTGTTCATAATAGTTTATTTCTACCTTGATTTTCTCTCCCAAAAAACTAATAACATCATACAGAAATCTGTATCACACTGCTAAAATACAAATATAAATGAGTACTAAAACTATAATAAAGCTATGGAGTTTCAAATTCAATACTTAAGGGAAAAAACACAATTAAAACCAAGATTTGGTAAAGATGAAATCAAGGAACAAAGATTATTGACATTTTAGTCAATAATATGCATATATGTTGCAAGTAACAAACAGTTATTACCATATAATACACTTTTGGAATAGGCATTTGCAAGGTTTCTGCCTCACTAGCCTCAAGTCTTACAGCTGTTAAAGAACCGGACTTAATCATGGCCAAGGCCTCAGACCAGGGGTCTTCAAACTTGGCAACTTTAAGACTTGTGGACTTCAACTCCCAGAATTCCTCAGCCAGCCCTTAAAGTTGCCAAGTTTGGAGCCCCCTGGCTCAGACTCTGACTTTGAAGAAGCTGCTCCAGCTGTACCAGTGCAATGTTAGTGCCAGGAGAGACCAAGCCAGAAATCACCTGAGGCTGATCAAACACAGGCACCATCTGAACAGCTGAAGCAATCAGATGATATGATACTTGGCAAGTAAAGCTGAGACCAGACCAAAGATGCTCAATGAGGCTCCCTGCCAAGCAAGGGGGAAACCTGATTTAATGGCAGCCCCCATCCAGGTTTCTCTGTTGGAAACAATTGTTTGATTGCCTGGTGATTTGCATGTACCCTGCTTATGAAACTGGCTGACAAATCTGACTTGGCTGTCTGAACTTTGGCCTGGATTTTGACTATTCTTCTGTGTATTCCTATTGAAGGTGAAATCACCCAGGCTAGCTTTCTTTCCCAGAAAAAAATGTTGATTTACATTTCTTCCTTTGACTGCTGTTATCTGCTCAGCCTTGATCTAATCCAGAGTAAGACCCTTCTCAAATTAGCCTTTGAGAATATTCATGTCTGAAGACAGAGCATCAGAAAAACAGAAGTACTGTATGTAGGAGAGCTTGGCTCTGTCAAGAAACAGCTGGTCTGATAAAGCTACTTGGCAGTATCCTGATGAAAGAAGCCAACTCTCAATTTTGTAATATCACTGGAACAAAGCCAGTCTATGAATGATTCTGTGGCTTTTATCTTAGAACTCCTAGCTGCAAAGACCTTACATGGAACTGACTCATTTTGTCTTCTGACTTTCTTTCTCTCCTCTTTGTACATTGTCTTTCTGTGAGTCAACTGGGATTATTAGAATTTTGAGATAAACCTACTAGAGTTACTATAACCTTAACCCAGATAAGCTTTCCAGTCTGTGAGGCTAAACCAATATCTTGTGAAACTTCAGATGAAATGGCTACCAGGACAAAAGCATGCCAATCATCAAATGTTTTAAAGCTACCCTGGCTAATTTGGCAGTCTATAAATGTGGCATATATGACACAAACCAAAGTTTCAGCTATGTATATTTTAAGCTCTGGCAAAGAAAGAGAAGATGGCAGCACAACTTTGCTGTGACAAATTAGAATGTTCAGTGTAAAAAAGCACAGCTGGTGCTTTCTCAGTAGGCTGTTATTTGTATAACAGATGAACCAGCAGACATTAGAAGAACAAATGCCAAATCTTTATTGCAGTTGCCAAGGCTATTTTTCCAACTGCCTGGCTTCTCTGGTTATACAACAACAAATAAAGAGTATTTTGTTGTCTCATTTTAGTATTTTGCCAGATTTCTAAAGTTTAAGCTTCCCTTAATCAGATGCTTTTCAGATGTGCTGGACAATAAACCACCATCTCTCAACAGCATGGCTTCCCAATCAAATAGGGGATTCATGCAAGAAGCCTTTAGTTTTGCAACATATGCTAAATTTAGCCAACATTCCTTTTACTCACAAAGTTTATCTGCTGTTTATTAACTGTTATGTCAATAGCTGAATTCCGTTATATACTCAAGATGGACAGTATTTAATATTTATTTGCTATGTATATGTAGGGGTGTGGGTCTATACATATGTTGTACATAGTATGTTTTAGGTATGTGTCATGTATGTGTTTCACTTTGAGAGTGGGCAACTAAATTTCATTTTTGATGTGTACCATTGTGCCCACAGTAAAAAAATGACAATAAAGGTTATCCTATCTTATCTTATCTTATCTTATCTTATCTTATCTTATCTTATCTTATCATCTTACATATGTATGCATGTACAAAGTAAGCTAAAGATATGAAGGAAATTTACATTTAAACATTTAAAAAACATTTAAAGGTAGGCCTGTTTTATTGTTATAGATCACTTTTTCTAATAGTTTATGATAATCCAGTGAGATTACTAGTAACAGTTTAAATTTCTCACTTTTTCTATGGTGCTTTGTTTAAATGAGATCTGTATCCAAACTCTTGGTGTCTATAATTATCATTTCAGTTCCATGATTTGGAAGAAAACACAATCAAGATGATTCTATGGCCCTGTTTCTCATCTTTTTATTGATGACTTTTTATTGATTTTTTTTCCTAGTCCCAATTCATGTAGCTACCCAAAGGAAGAGGGCTAATGTTTATTTAGTGTTTATTGTTGCTCCTTCTGTTCTTAGTGCTATGCCCAAAACAAAAAATGTTTGAAAAAAGGAAAACAGTAGAAGACCACTGCTTAAAACATGGACATTACTGGGCATCTAATCATGGCTAAGAATGGTATGACCAAAAGTCAGAAATGATGAATGGCACATCCAGCCCCTGGAACCAACTTTGGGGAAACATGGTCTAGACACTTTTTTAATTAATGCAACTTGAGTATTTTGATGCTTCAAAGCTATATAACCATATTAGAAAAACATTGAAAGCACAGTATGAAATATAGTAACAAATAAAAATACGATATAAAAGCAATGAAAATGTAACAGTTGGCAGAAGAGTTTAAAAGGTTCTATGAAATACTTGCATCTAAACTGTACCATAAATTAATATATTAACATGTCAAAAATACCAGAATTAAAATGTTTTGACATTAGAAAAAAATAATGTAAGGAATGCCTTATTGGGGTAGGATATTCCAGAAGTAAGGAGATGGCATCAAGAAGGGTGATCTAAAGCAAGGCTTTTTCAACCAGTGGTACGGATACCACCTGTGATACATTGGCACCTGGCAGGTGGTACGCGACCATCCTAGAAAAGTGGTAGCAGGGGAGGGGAATGAACTGAACTGGT